CACCCCCCCCCCCCCCGAAAATCCCGTCAAAACCGAACCCGTCAAAATCCTCAAGGACGTTGCATGACCCCGTGACATGTCCGAGCAGGGTATTCCACAAGCTGCTCTACTCCCAGCCGAGCCCGCAGCGCCGCCGGGAGCCCCCCAGCAGGGAGAACAAGCTGAAGCTATTCCTGAAGCGCAGCAGCGAGCCCCTGCTCAACCTACAGAACCCCCAACAGGTGAGACTTGGACGCGATCCGCTTCACGCGCGCGGCACGGGAACCCAGTCCGTGGACAAGCACTGCTGACGAATGTGGACCTTCTCTCTTTGGTCTTCCCCTTTCTCCTCTCACTTTTGTAGCGCCAGGCCTCCCAGAGACACCAACAGTTGCCCTCCATCCCCGAGGTAAATGTGCGTAGACGGTCGCAACGACAGGCGTTCTTGCTTTCTCTTTCTTTCGTCTGCTTTCTTCTTCGACCCGGTTTTTTCTCTTCTTGGCCTGCTTTCGCCTCGGTTGACTGCTTCGTTAATGTATGCATCCTCGGAATGAATGCGACATTCGCGAATGACAACGAACAAGACATCGAAAGATGCATTCGTGAATGACACATTCATGTATGCGACATTCGTGAACGATACATTCATGTATGCGACATTCGTGAACGATACATTCATGTATGAGACATTCGTGAATGATACATTCACGTATGAGACATTCGGGGAAAAGGCGAGACATCGGTCCCGCAGGCGATGGCCCCTCTGCCACGCCTCCCCCCTCCGGTCGATATGCTCAGCGTGCTTCTTTCCGCATCGCGATGGGGCGCTATGAGAACGATGGACTTCATCCAACTGAGAAAAATTAAGTTAAAATTGAGACTTGCTCATAAAATGTTCGTTCCTTCACAACCACGCGATTGGAATTCCCCATTGTCGCTGTCGTGAAGCAAAAAATAAATTATGCTCTCAGGTCCGTCATCACTTCGGAATTTGCGTTTTCGGAAGAACTCCGCTGAGCTTGCAAGGTCTAAAAAAAAAAGAGAAGTAACTAACTTAGTCTGAGAAATTGGCCGATTGGATGCTAATTAGCATAGCTGGTGACACTGATGAGCATGCAAACCATTTAGAAACCATGGATCTGCATGACACATAATATATGCATAATCGAACTTGCATTTTTTTGACAAGTGGATAATACCGCTTTGGTTTCAATAATTGTGAAATTTGTTACAAATTTCATCTTGCTTTCAGAATGCTTCGCTGAGATTGCATTTCCCTTCGTCTGCTAGACTATCTTTTAGCAAGCATGCCAAATCTGCTTGACCTGCTTTTCCACTCAGCCGCTTCTTGCCCGGAAGAACTAGAACCTTCTTCGTAGGGAGAACCTTTATTATATAATATGATGATAATAAAATTGAAGAAAGCTTTGTCTTGCAGCCGCAGGGTCACACCCACCAGACGCTGATCATCGAGGAATTCGAGCCGGACGTCTTCAGGCAGCTCATCGAGTACATCCACACGGGATGCGTCACGCTCCAGCCCCGCACGCTCCTCGGTGCGAACGTTTTTTTCAATCGCGGGCTTTCTGAGGGGGAGGGGGGGGGGGGGGGCCTGGAAATGTAGCAAGCTGGGGAAAAATTATTAACACCATCGGGGCGAAATTTGAGAGATTCGTATTGATATTTGGATCTAGTGTCAAGGATTGCAAAAACGTCCGAGCATGCAGCGTCGACGAATGAATCCGCCATAAAATGCAAATGATATTTTAAACATCGATCGGGAAAATCAACAATTTTTGATCAACAACAAAAATCAACAACGAAGCGAAAAGGGTTAAGTGCCGAATTCATTTCTCAAAAGTTTCCTCCTCAAAATCCCCACACGTCAATTTGCATCGACAAAATGTGTCTCGCATTGGTTATACTTATCGACCTTAAAAAATATATTAACACCATTCCAAGAGAAAACGTCTGCTACAAATCCACCGCTGCTATTTTTTTTTGAAATAGTGTATTAAAACTGCACTGGACGTGAAACTGAAGTAACAGAGGGTGAGTAAGAAGTGTGTGGGATCAGGCCCCAAAAGTGATGTGCAAGAAGCTGTGCTGATGCAACGGCACAACTTGATGAATGGCACATCAAATGCGTCATGCAACTTTGCCTGATACATTTTAAATAGCACTAGATTTTTCTGAAGGGCGACTCAGGCATCGATTAATACCGCTGGCAAGCGGCTGTTTGCGTTTCTAGTTATGCTTGTGATGGTCGCAAATAAAGGGGGTTGCCAGAATTAGCGAAAAAAAATTGAATACATTGATAAAATAATATAATTACCTGCAGATGACGTCTTCGCAGGCGATCCTTGCGCACGATCCCACGCGCTTCTTACCGGATCCCACACGCTTCTTACCCGAGGGGTTTTTGGCATCCTTAGACCTACTTAGTCGAAGATCGGTTAGAGGGAAATGATGGACTCTCACTTGGGCATTAGGTGTGATGAATGCAGCAGACTACTACGGGCTGGAGGAGCTCCGGCGATCTTGCTTCGGGTTCGTCCAGTGTTGCATCAATGTGGACACGGTGTGTGCACTGCTTTCATCGGCCGAACGGTACATCCAGTACAAATGCACCAAGTCCCTCGTCCAGAAGGTGTGCTCAGCTCTTATCTCCGGTGTGGACACGGTCATTAAGGGTGATGGACCGGTTCGATCCCTTTGTTTGAGTTCGAAGGGGGGGGGGGGGGATTTGGGGAAAACGGGTAAGCGTCCATGGTATCACAGTTGCCACATCAAAGGAACACATGAAGACAGAGCGGAACATGCCGCAGAAAGTCACTTCACCTGCGGCGGTAGTCACTTCCACCGCGGCGGCAGTCACTGCCCCCGCGCCGGTAAATCGGTTAAGCGTCCGACCTTCGATCGTCGACATCGATTGTCGGCGGTTTTCTTATCGGCACATAATGGCTTTTTATTGCTACCGTAGAGCAAGCACATCCCGGTTCAATCTGGAATATTGTAACTAACCAATCCACCGATGAGGGAGCTCATCGATGCTCATCACTTCCTGTATGAAATCCCCCTCAGGTGCTGGAGTTCGTGGACGAGCACGGGAACGAGGTGCTGAACCTAGGTTCATTCACCCTGTTGCCCCAACACGTCGTCAGGCTCATCTTGGCCCGAGATGAACTCAAAGCCGACGAACTCACCAAATTCCAGGTCTAAATTATAATATTATTATTATTGTTACGTTATTTCACATACGCCAGCGCACTTCCGTTTCTCGAAATTCTGAGCTGTATTTTCAAACGCCGATTTTGCTTCCCAGGCGGCACTGATGTGGAGCAAGAAGTACTGCGACAGCAATCCACACATGGATCTCAAGGACGTCGTGTCCACGTTCCTGGAATACATCAAATTCCACCTGATCCCGGCCAGTGTGCTCATGAAGGATGTCCATCCCCTGGGGCTCGTCCCGGACCACATCATCATGAACGCACTCGCTTACCAGGTCTATCAAGTACTGCTTCAGCACTACACAATCCTTTCTTTATACATTTTGCACTTAACACTGACTTCATGTTGAAGAATCGTTTAATCTTCGCTCGAAGAAAATGCCTTAAAAATTAACTGAACAATGAAGTCAATAATGAAAAATGACAACTTGAAATGTGATTTAAAGTTGAAAAAGACGTGATTCCTGTCACAGGCGGACCCGAGCAGCGTGGACGTGAGCAAGCTGTCACCGAACCGCGCCCGAAGGATCCACGGGAGATCCATGTCAGTACAGAGTTCCATGGATCCCTTGGGGAGCAACACGACCCTCAATTCCAGCGAGTACTCGGATCTCGAGAGCGGGAGGGCCAGCTCGGAAAACACTGGCTCTCCGCAGGGACAGTGACTGCCGGCGCGGGGGAAGTGACTACCGGCGCGGGGGCAGTGACTGCCGCCGCGGTGGAAGTGACTACCGCCGCAGGTGAAGTGACTTTCTGCGGCATGTTCCGCTCTGTCTTCATGTGTTTCTTTGATGTGACAACTGTGATACCCACCACACATTTTGATGTTCCCTTCCGTTCGTTGAGCTGTTCATGAAGCACAGGAGAAATATATATGTATTGCTGTTCAAATGGTATGCAGAGATTTCTTGAATCCACAAGAACCGTGAAAAAAGAGAGCTGGTTTCCATGATACCGTCGCTATTCGCAAGACCACCTTACGTTTGATCGTCATAAGGAATTCAGAAAGTGAATGTGCCCTATGACGATCATTAAATGAATCCCCGCCAAAATCTCAAAATTTGCTACACTGCATCTTGCGAACCTGGTTCTGGTCCCGGCATGACAGGGAAAAGTAAGGAGTTCAATTAACCCTAAAAATATACAGTTTACAAATACAAAATTCAACAAAAAGTTTCCAGGAAATTTGAGAGAACATGACATGTCTGTCCGATCAAAAAGTCTGGCAGGGGATCAAGGAACAAAGTGGAACTCAAGCCTCCGGTGAGACTTCATGGAGACTTCATGGCAACTATCTCATTATCGAAGCTGCCCAGGGCTGAAAGGAAATCTGCTCAAATCGGTAAAAAAGACGCGCATATAGAGCAGTTTTCGCTTTGGTCCTTCGCTTCAAGTTCACCATAATTCATATCACTTCCTGTTTGATAACACGCGTGATCCTGATTCCGCTCTGATGCACATACCAAACAGTTTCGATTCCGGCAGTACTTAGTGGAGATTCTCGTGTACAGCTCAGCTCATTTAAATAAGCTGATATCAATAAATAAAATAAGTAAAAAAAAATTAATGAGTATATAAATCTGTAATATTATCCCCTACCCGGATTAATCTCAGAAATCGATGTGAATTCTCGCTCTTACACTGCACGGATAAATAATTCATGTTGGATCGATGCCACGAACATGAAAGCTGTAATTAACCTAACTCCCCTCTGAGTCAATATTTAACTACTTGGTGACAGATTGAAGAGATACAGACACTTACGCCCTGATTCCGCAATGCAGGTGACGCGGTACAGACAACCTTTACGGATAAAAAATACAATGTAATGAGTAAGGTAAAACCATCTAGGTTCGGACACCATAAAATAAATTGTTATAAAACAAAGCGAGGTTACCCTCAGAAGTCCAGTGTGACACAAAAGTCAGTTGACAAATGAGAAAGAACACATTTGCCTAAAACCTTTGTTTTTACTTGGTATTGTATTCAGTCAGCACCTGCCAAGCAAAAACAAAGATTTATAGGCAAAGTTGTTTTTTTTTTTCTTCTCATTTGTTAACTGACTTTTGTGTTGTAGCTCTTCCAAGCTGCGAAGAACTGTTTCTGTGGAAGTTCACCAATGTTTGGTTTTCTAACGATGTACGATATAGCGTCCGAACGTAGGTACTGTCCGAACTTAAATGCTTTCACCCTAATTCCCTGTGAAACAAACCACCAACAGCAGAATTAAAAAAGTGCCTTAATGCTGTTCCATGTCCACACGGACACCTGCAGTTAATAACTAGCAATTCTATGCACTTGAAGTAACGATGGTCATCGCAAGTTATGGCCAACAAGTTCTACACCTAAGCCTTAACATATTGGATGTCACATAACCTCCATTGCAGTCCTGAAAATTAAGACGATCAGGTACTTATTACTAACGTCTTTCAACGTAGAACTAGGACAACACCTGAATACCTTCTTTTCCTATGACCCCTCAGCAGACGAAAGCCACATATTAATATGCAGACATAAAAAAAGAAACTTGCGGAGTCCATCAAACCATAGGTTTATTCCAACAAAGCCCAATCATCCGAATTTTGATCCTGTGCATTCTCCAAAGATCCAAAATTACAGCAGGCTACTGCTTGTGAAGCGATACTACAAGGTCCCTCCCCCCAACCACATACAACCGACAGTGCTCAAGCAGTGAATGCGCCGATACGAGCCTCGATTCCCAAAACCATCCGGCCTGCATCCGGTCCACGCGACCGGAATCAATTGAACTGGGTGCGGGAGTGCGGCATGACCCCTCGAGGCCAACCCGCGGGCCAGTGCACGTTGGGAGCCATCGGCATGGGCGTGTTCACGTAATCCAGACCCGGAATGCCCTGGTTCTGGTTCCAAGGCATTCCTTTGGGAGCCTCCGACGGGGAGACGGTCGTCGGGGTTTCTCCCATTCTCGCGTGACCCGGCACCACGAAAGGCGACGAATTCGCGAAAGCAGACATATTCGTGAAAGACGACGAATTCGCGAAAGACGACGTATTCGCGAAAGAAGATGTATTCGCGAAAGAAGACGAATTCGCAAAAGAAGACAACGAATTCCCGATGGCCGGCGGATCCGGATTCGCGAAACGAGCCGAGTCGTCGGAAACCGCCTTCACCGGCGCCCCCGTCATCGCCGACCACGTGTTGAGCACCGAGGTGGCAGACGGCGCCGCGCCGCGACCGGACGCATGCGACGACGGCCCCGCCTTCCTCGTCGCGTATTGCTTCGTTTCCGCCGTCTGCGACACGGCTTGCTGCTGTTGGACTTTCGACTTGGGAACGATCCCCAGAAAGCCACCGTGCTTCATGATCTCGTGCAGCTTGGCAACTTTCGGCGACTTCTTCGCCTCCAGCTTCTTGATGGTGCTGATGAGATTGTGCTGCTCCTGCCGCGTCAGGCAATCGAAATTTTTAATCAGCGACTCCAGCAGCTCCAGCGACAACTCCTCCGACCCTTCCTGCGAAGCAGCCGACGGCCTCAACCCCGAGGTCGACGGACTGATCTGCGGCTCCTGATACGAGCTCTGCAGCATCGAGAGACCGCCGACGGTCTTCGGCTGCCCGGGATTCAATATGGGAAACACCACAGACCCGGCATTCACTGGCGCCTCCTGCATCGAAACGGCCGCACGAGGCTGCGGCTGCACGACCGTGTTGAACCGCTGCAGCACCCCCTGCAGCACCTGCTGCAGCTCCTCCTCCGAGATGTCCGCCCTTCCCGTCTGAGCCAAGTGATTCGCCACCGCCTCGGCGAGCACGGCCTCGTCGATGCTCGACGGATCGATCGGCGCAGTCGGACGCGACCGCTTCGGTTCGTTCGCCTGGCTCGACGGCAGTGCCGCCTGAACCTTCCGCGCCTCGCGAAGCGTGCGATGCACCTGGTCCAGAGCGAGCCTCGCCGCTCGGTACTTGTTCCGGCTCAGAAGCCCCGTGTCCACGAGCGCCTGAAGTTTCTCACTCGCGAGTTCCAGCACCTCCACGGCCTGCGTGTCGCGGAGCAGGGCGTTCGAGGATCCTTCGCAGGACGTCTCCATCCTCCTCGCCTGAATCAACAGACTGCTGATCTTACTCGACAGCGAACCGAGATCCGTGTCCAGAACGATGAGAAGACGCAGGGCCTCAAAGACCAGCTTCTCGTACGGCCGCGTCATCTCCCGACTCCTCTCGCGAGAGGCCCCTCTCCGCTCCGGCGACGGCCCTCGGGTCCCTCGAGACGGAGCCCGCTTCTCCCTGCGACGATGGGGAGGCGTGAGCCGCTCCGGATCCCTCGGCATTCCCTCGTCCCCCGAACTGATCCTGTCCAGTTCCTCGTCCGGGATCTGCTCGATCTTCACGCGTTCGAACTTCTTCTTCTTCGCCTCCTCGGAGAGACGCAAGCTCGACTTCTTCGGGTGCACCGGCTCCTCCGGCGGGACCGCGTACCCGTATCGATTCAACAGCTCCCGTTTGTGAAGCTCCATGTCTTCCTTCTTCAGCTCCTTGCTCCGCCTCTGCGTCCAAAAGACCGTCCACTCGGCCTTGAAGTCGTAGCTGCCCGGGTCTCGGCCCGTGTTCGCCAGTTCCTTGTACCGCCGGGACCAAAACGCCTCCCATTCCTTCGCGTACAGGGGATGGTCCTCGGCTCGCTTGTCGTAGATCTCCCAGCGTTTCTCGTGCTTCTCCATCATCACCACCTCCTCCCTCTTGTAGCGATCGTACTTATCTTTCTCCTTCGAGAACGGGGACGGAGAATGGTGACGGCGCTTCCGATGGGAATACTGGTGCTCGTGAGACCTCGACCGGGAATTCTCGTGCTTCGGATGCCGCGAATGGTGCTGGTGGGCGGGCGGCTCCCGGGACCGATCCGACCGGTGCTTCCTCTGCCGGGATTCCGGCGACGACGACGAGCTTCCGGACAACTGGCGGTGCTTCTTGTGGCTTTCCCTCCTTCCGGGGCTCTTGCTCCGAGCGGCATGGTCTGAAATCGGATGAAGATCTCTCGCATGCATCACAACACCTCGTAAAAACTTATTGGAATGTTAGATTTTATTTCTAGCATATCACTCAAAACAATAGCTGGTATTAATTCCTCAGTCCAGGGAAGCAACTCCAGAAAGGTAACATATTAAAAATAAATTCACTGGTCACTTCACTAAAATAGCGTAAATACTGCCACCGCGAAACCCAAGCTGGTGTTGACGTATGAGAGGTTTGCTTACCAAAGATCCTTTATTTTTTTTTTAGGACGGGGACGTGAACGCATTACTAGCCGTCCAAATTCCAGATTTTTTACGGGCGTTTCCGCTATGCTTCACAGAACTGCAAAACTGGCAACGGGCTTCCACAAAACTCCACGTGCGCGAACGACGGTCAATATGAGGCATCGAAGGAATCTTCCGACTCAGTGATATGGTGCCTTCTGGTGAACCCGCAAATCCCCCGATATCAAAATTTTATGTATCGAAATTAAATTAAGTTTGCATGAGGAATTTTATGATTTCATTAGAGATGAGGTGAAGGAGGGACATCCCCTTATTAACCATATAGATAGAGAGAAACTGAAGACGTCGCAGGCTAGACCAGTGGCATTCTTCACGATTCTAATTTGTGAAGAACAACCTTCGACCGAGAAGTGTAAATACCCATTTTACAGCCTAAAGGTCCGAAGACCCAACGAAAGGTGCCAATAAATTTGGTACCATCCTCAGTGCCACCTAAAAACTGACCCATAGTCATTCGACGCCGTAGCGAAGATCACGTGACTGTCAAGTCATTCCTGATTGGTGGATATTCTCGTCGCGATCATGTTCCCGAGAGAACAGCTGGATGAACCCCTCCATATCTTAAAAGCCTTCCATGTGCGTTTTAAAATTGCTGGTGGCCGGATCTATGACGTCACTAGTTCTACAACCATTCCCGTCCTCTCAAAAATGAGTAACCCAAACTCCCGATTCTCACAAGTACAATGCTTACTGATTCGGGGTTAAAATACTTTTCTTCCGTATTGCTAATGGCAACTTAGGTATTCTTTATGGCAATAAACCACATTTAATATCTTTAATTAAAGTATTCGAAGTTAGATCAAAGAGAATGCGAAAGAAAACCAGAGGCAATGGCTGTGAAATGTCCACTCGTGGATTTCTGACAGTTCAAGAATGTTAGGAATAAGAATGTGAGTTTAGCGACCAGTACAGTAAAGCTTTGTGGCTGCATTTACTGTAGATAAGATGCCCTGTCGAACAGAGAACCACAAACAACTATTCGTAAACAGTGATTTTCTTCAAAGCCGTGGGGTGATTTAATATGAGCAATCGACAAAGCTTAAGGCTACATGAGGACCGATCTCTCTCCTTCATCTGGCTCTTCTAATGTTCTTAGTTACTTCATTTCTACCAGGATTACAGAAGGAGTCAGAGTGTCACGCTGTGCACCAGTCCATCTTGACACGTGAAAAATAAAGAATGCAAATGCACAATGCATTCACATTTGCACAGCACATTCAGTCCACATAACTGGAGCTGAGAAAAATAAAGCTCAGAGGGTAACTCCGTCAACCCATTATAAAGGAGCTTCATATCATGGAACAACTCGCCGAATCACGAATGCTTCCCTGTATCAAAAATAGGTTTAATGACGAAAACCCCATCTACAGTCTTATGATGCCAATCCAAATAGAAGCAATTGTAGACCCCCATTCTGTGGAACTACAGGATTCAACATGTCATTTAGTCATTAAATATTAGCAAATGGAATTTTCCAGTTAGCAAATCAACAGAGTCATCCCGTCTGAGAGTATTCAAACATATAAGGCTTGAACTTGTAGATGATCCAGCACAACACCTGTTGCAGAAGACCATCGGTACGGGTAAAACCAACCAAAGTCGGGCAAATAAACGCAGGAGGAAAACAACGAACTAATGTTTCTGACTTGTCCTCCTCAACTGGTTTTCCCTTTTAAGCAGTGCTTCTCGTTGTGAATGCAACTCAGAAGTCTGAGCAGTTATCCTCATTGTAAAGTATCAAGGCCTCCAGCTGACGAGAGGGTGCATGGGTGGCATGCAGAACATGTGCTCACGGCTGCATGCTGAGGGGGAGAGACAAGACATCTCCATTAGGCTGACTCCTCCATGTCAGAGAGAACCCAGCCCCTTCCCTCATTTCTATCCTCATCAGCTTGGCAGCCAGGAGTTGGGGATCCTAATCCCGATTAGGACCACTAGCTTCCTCCCTCATTAACACTTTCTCAGATGCTGTCTATATCAAGGACAGGTTGTCTGACGGGGAGTCATCGTATCCTATACAAAATAATATATTTTTCTTATCATTTTTGACCCGTCCAACAAGAGAGATGTTTTTCATGGAAGACATGACCTACTTGGAAAAAATTAATCGTTGTGAATCTGGGTGTGGCCTTGGCTTGCAAACTGTGCAGCCAATTTATCACAGTCATATCAAATAAATAGTTTTTTTTTTTTTTAGAAACAAGTCTTTCCTAATAAGAATAAAAGAAAAAAAGAGGTTGTTCGTGTGACAGTTTGGGCTTGAGTTGAGTGTCTTTCGATGCAGGCTTTCAACCACACTCAAAGGCACAATACTGCTCTAAACTTCAAGAATCTTCAAATATCAAATGACTGATGACTCACTTTGACATTTGGTTTCCAAAAACATCAAGTAGCAAATTCATCATTAAGTAAATTTTATATTGATAAACTCGTAGTAAGGCACAGCTAAGAGGATGGTACTCCCACATTTGTGCCAACAACCAACCATTCCTTTGCATGCAATCAACTCAAATACTGTTGCATTGTCCTCCCATCTTAATTGTTCTTGTTCTATATTTTATATGCATCAGAAATGATGGTACAATCAAAGGAGGCTAGTTCCTGGACTGGGATTCACAAAGTTTGCTTTTCCATGCTGTTGGCTTGGTTCTTCGCAATCCAACAGCTTGGTTAAGCCCCTGAGCAAATGAAACTTTAATTTCACATAGCCAGCATATTCATTCACTCTAATGGAATCAGCATCAGAATAAAATAAGCAATAGCAAGTACAGATTTGAATTTTCATTTTTCAAAACAGTACCAACTGAAAACTAGTCTGGAAAGTGAACAACTTCAAACCAGACTCAGTGTATGTGTCAATTAGAACTACCATAAGGCAGCTAAGCAACAGAATAGCCTAGGAGCTTCCTGCACTCAGCCAACAGGAGCAACTTGTAATTTTGTCCTATAGCATGCTACTTCAGCATGCCCTATGGCTATGTCAATGAAACCTAGGACTTACCTCTCTTTGAGGCAACCTCCCGGTCATTCTTTTTCTTCTCTTCCTTGGAGCTTTTCTGTAACAAGACTTCAGGTTCACTCTCTGATGAAGACTGTGCCGTTTTCTCCTTTGCACGTTCATAGTACGATTTCACGCTCTCATCACGTGTCACATCCTGGCGGAGGTTTGCCAACCGGATTTTGCTGCACACACACAATGGTGAAGAATTTCTTTTAAAGGGGATTCCATTTTTGACTGCCTCTTGACTCATGGTTATATGTCATTCAGCTTTTGGAGGAGTTTCATATGACTTGAAATAACCTATCAAAGAATATGGTAGTCTAGTAGGGAATAGAAAAATATGGGCCTGCTCTCAGAAACACCTCTCACCAGATGCTGAGTGTAGGCCAATTAATCCATATTTTCATACATTCTTGTGAACATTACCACTAAATCAAACAATCCATACAAACTGTTGTGGAGGATTAGGATGGATCTTGGAAGGCCAAGGCTCAAATAGACCTAGGATACACCTAGTCATTCCTATATGCTCATACTCCCATCCAAGTCTGGAGGAGTACACCTTAGGTTTAGTAAGACTAAACAAAGCCAAGCATAGTATGTCATTACATTGGAAACAATGTAGGCTAAGAATGGCTGAGTTAATGTCATACATTATCTGCAACCCTATTGTACTGGATGCAATATGTGAATCATCTTCCTGTCATGAACTATATGCAGAGATATTATATTACAGCAAGGCTTCACCTAACCTTGGAGCTAGCAATGATGCACTTTTAGGAAATGAATTTACTTATTTACTTAATATCAACATGAGCAGTTTCACTATGAACTTGAATACTTAATAAGGTCCCAATTGCTGAGTTAGAAGCTAGAAGTAAATCATAGGGGAGGCAAAGGATCAGATGAATCCAACAGGCTCAATTGAGTGAGGTAGGGAATACCTTGAGGAAGATGAGAATCTTTAAGCACAATTCCAAGTAAGATTAAAGGTACCTCTTTAACTTTCTTCCTATAATGTCCATGCTCTTGCTACTGGGACCTCTATGTACACGATCTCTACCCATTTACCTCAAAATTTATTTAAATGCATAAATTTGCTGAACTTTTAATCAACTCCCATAACTACAAAAATTCTTGAAGAATGAGTTTCTCAGAAGTGAGACAGGGCTGGCCAAGGACTAAATGAAGAATACATTATAAGATAGGTGGATCAGTTCTAGAAAGGGTAAAGGAAATGGAAAGCAAGGGCTCCTGCCTTCCCCTTAGTTTACCTTCTTGAGAAACGATTCAGATAACTTGTAGCCGATAAACTATCCTCACCAATGCATCTCCTATTCTTCTCTGGTATGATGACAGCCACAGGATGAGACAGGGGAGAGTCACTATCAGCCAGGGTTCTTCTGCACTTCTTTCTACGAGGTTCTCATGTATACACCACGATGCCTTGCTTATTACTGATTGTATGGGATGATTATTAACCTTATCATCTCTCTCCTCTAGACTACACTACAAATAATATAAAGAATATCCATACTTTCTGCATGTCTTATTGATTTAATGATTAGTTTTATGCAAGGGAAGTAAATACCTAGGTCCAAATACGAGCCAATATCCAAGGTGCTTCAAAGACAAAAGGTCCATTGATGTGACTTGTGTCATGGGTCCCAGTAACTGCTGCACTTTGGCAAGCAGCCGTTTTCATAGCGATTAGGCAAAAAACCTCAACACGATCCATTATGTTGTTTACTTCACCCAATGCAATGGTCATTTGGTATTCATGCCTTAAAACCTTGACTGTTAAGCTCTGTGAATTGCTATGGTTCTGTCAACCACACTGACTGACATGGGAGTCAATGCATTAGCCTACAAAAAGGGGTGCCAATTGACCACATAAAAAGTGAATCTTGTGGTGTGATTTTAATTTTTGTTTCCATGAAGGTGGCCTTGACTGCTAATAGTACATTGTTACCTTGTGACATTAGATCTATAATGCAAGAATAAATGTATCACATACCAAGTCTGAGTGAAATGGCAACACTAAGGCCTTTACATAGAATTTCCAGGTTGATGACAATGGATGCCCAATGATGTAATTGCAAGCCTGAGATAACATGCATTCAACATGCAATATTCTTTTATTAGGGAATTCCCATACTCATGCCATACAAATGAATCAATCCTAAATTGTTAATTCCCTCCAACACTGCGATGCTCAACATTCACATGCAAATTTTTCGGAGGCAGCAACTTCATCAAGGAAGAGTAAAGAAAGGCTAAAATAGATGGCAGCACAGTGTGCTAGCTATGGCCCCCTTATCATGGCAGGTACTTTCAATCGAGCTTGAAACACAGGCCTTAACTATGGAATATTTCCTAGCTTTGCACTCCTGAACCAGATATGATATGTCAATGAAGGAATTGCAAATTTGCCATCTGAAGTTGTAATGATTGTAAAAATTAAATGAGTAACTAATCAAGTTGAGTATAAACATGACTTGAACCATTTGTCCTGAGGTTAATCTCAAACCTTTCCCAATAAAAGGTCTGAAGCCTTTCAGCTGTTCAAGGATAGCTAATTTTCCTCAAGTTTTTAAGCACCTTCATCAGCTATCAAGAAATTTCATAAATATGACAATTCCATCTTCCACTCTACCATGAATCTTGGTAGAGTATGTTCTTGCTAATTACTCATGGTGATGCACTTGAACTTTGGTCTGTGACAGAAGGCCCACAAGAGGCATATTGTAGATATAGGTCAAGGAATATGTGCTCTTCATGGTACAAACATTATGGTTATATACTGTATCATAGGCCTATTGAACATTTAAGTCTCAACTTTATCACCACAAATGAGTGCCAAATTTCAGTGAGATCAGGTGAGACTTGAGAGAGAGATGGATTAAATGAAGTGTGAATCTTTGCAGGGCACTTCAAATTACCCTGTTAGGTTGCTATTGCAGCCAGATAGACATAATGATGGATCCAGCTTAGACCTATTGTGGGTGTAACACAACTAGACACAGTCAAACAGGGCTCTGCAGATCCAGCCCATGTGTCTGGTAATAGGGTAGGCTATAAACTAACCAGCTTAGATACAGTATCTAGGCCATAGCATTTTCAGATTGACTTTTTCTTCTATCCCATTCAATCCCTCGTACTGCTGTTGAGGAGCTCCTTGAGACATGCAGCGAGTGCAACCATCACTAACGGCTGAATTAAGTCAGACGTGTAAAGTGAACTCGATCTTCAGATGAGAACCACTACTTACAGGGCACATGAGAAGACATGAAGATTGCATAAATGGGAGAGGGGGGATCAAGGGGAGAAGTCAACCAAAAGAAAAAAGGATCACAAGACGAGTGCAGACTGCTGCCATCCAATGAGGATGAATTCTATAAGAATCCTCAATGAGTAGGAAAACCAGTACCTTAGCACTTATCAGCAATAACAACAACTTACCAGTCAGATCTTGTCTATAAGAAGTAGCCAAGAGTAAACAAGTAGACCAAAGCTGTACAGTTCAGATGGGTTTATACTTGCACCCTATGCCAAGACAGACATGCATGTATTCTTCCTCATACATATTATCATATAAAGCCAGTAGACTAAATAAATTTCTAGTTTGAAAAAACCTTACACCTGGTAATATGTAAATACAAAATACCAGCCTTATTTAAACTTAGTCTAGTGACACTCCAATGTCAATACTGGATACACAAGTGGAATAAGTCCCTCAGCCATATCTAAGACATGCTTTGCTGGTCTCACACCTACCTTATAACAAATATGAGAAGCAAACTCACATCAACTCCTTGTTCCTGTTGTCTTTGTTTTGGTTTTGATTTGCACCTGAAAAGCAAGAGATACATAAATCAGTCTTCATTCTCAGACTTTCTCCCAACAAAGACATGTACAGTCTGATCATGAAGGAATTCCATTTCAGAGATAGATCTTCCATGAAACTATGTCAGGAGGCTTCCTTTATCTTTATCTATTGACACCAAAATTAAAGGTATTGACCTCTTTATTATACACTGAAATTTCTTTATGATTTATACCATACATCAACAAGTTACATCAATACACTACATCAGGCTTGGAGGTTTTGAAAAGACTCACTTAAATCTGATTACCATTACGCAAAATTACATAGACCAGATTACTGTAATTTTGGCCCCAAGCTATTGAGCATGAGAGCATAGATATTAAGAAGTCAAACTTTGAAAGTTAAAATCTCCTTTTCTGCATGGCATGGAATATCCACACACACATTCCATTGACAGAATGAAGTCATTGGATACTTAATGTCTGCTGCATTAATTTCCTGCATCTCTATCATTTTAAAAATTCCATTTCTGATACATCCAAAATGTCACCAAATGTCTGTAGGAACCAGCAGTGAAACTGAACCTGGCTGCCAGTGCAACTGTGCCATCCCTGGTATGTCCTATAAATCATTCTAACACATCTTGACTAACCATTTCAACAGTGTTAAACTCTGACAACAATCAGAACTTTTCACACACAGAGGGCTCTCACTTTGGGCAAGGGAGATTGTAGGTCTCAATCAAAGAAAAATTCCCCTCAATGTGATCATTTGCCACCAAAACTACATGCACCCTGTTCTGACTATGCACATATTGCTCTTTCCTTACCTGTTCATACCATGATTTCTCCAAGAATACAATCAGGATATATAAACGTCCCCATTGCAGAATAGTGGGTCCAGGTGCAAACGACTTGTGCAATTGTGGGAATATGGCAGATGCCTTAATAAGCTTCCCCATCCCCCAAAGACCACCAGCAGGAACATATGGGTGGGGGTGCAAAAGTAGTGAGACTTGTGCTTCTGTTGTCTTTCTTTTTTTTTTTTCTGTCTCTCAATAAATGGAACTACAGGTGGGAAAAATGTGCATCAAGGCAGGAAGACTACATTGAAAAATAGAGGGTCTATATTAGGACAAAGGTATAAATAAAGTCCTGCCCTCATAATTACGAAGTCTCACTACCTTTGCAACACTACTCAACAACACTACGTACTACACTTCTCTAAGCAGTTCTCTTATATCCTAAAATATCATTATTGTGAACTTACATGATGAAACTTTAAAAATGTAAGCATTCCTGATGCAACCCTTCTTGATTTGACTGTTAGTTCAAAGCAAAAACTGTGAAGGCATAGAAAACCCATAGCTCTGAAAGAACACAACTCAGCAACCGAATATTGCTTGGAAAAATAAAAGAGTCTGAAACATCTCAGGTCAGTAAAGATAAGAGTTTTAAGATTAAGGCTTTAACTTAATGATGACAGACAATAATGAAAACACACTTCCACAGGTTAAATGTTCCAAGAGAGACTTTTCAACACACGCCCAGCATCTAAAAGCACTTCAAGAGAATACTTACCTATAGAGACTCGTTTATCCCACTTTCCAACCAAGTGGCTTGGTGGTTCCTTGGCAATGTCCTCTTGATGCTTCTGTCGGAATCTATCGTTTGAAAAAGATAGGAAAAACAAGATAAAGTCAAATGGTACATCCCAACTAATGGACTGAGACAAATAATAATTTAAAATCTACTTAGAAGTGCATTACTCTTTTCGGTGGTAGAAAAATAAATAACATCAATAGATGAGCTGGTTCTATTGAGGGCTATTAGGGCAATTAACAGTTGGTGGCGGAATCTCCACCAAATCACCCATCACAACTCAGATGGATGCAACAAGGTGGCAACATCATCTAATTTCTAATGTATCTTCTGAAATCATGTTGCCAAGTCTGATCAGAAAGAAATGGCCTAAGTATACTTTCAACTGAAGTTGCCCCATGAAAGCATAGAAAAGAAATGTTCCAGAAAGAAAAAAAAAAAAGTAGCTAACATAGATAAGTTCATGTTGATAAGTCGGGGACACAAAACAAGATTCAAAGGTATCACCTTCGCTCACAATTATGAGACAGAAGAAAACATTTTTAAAAATCTAAATACTGGAGAAAATCAATTTAATCAAGTAAAGGCTCTTACTATGCTTAAATTTTCATTTGTTTTTTGGTATGTCTACAAGCCATTTCAGTGGTAAAATAAATAGGCCCATCAATATAATCTAAAAAAACGAACAAGAGTAATACCATGCAACATAAATGAAACATCATGTTGAATCTCATCTGTCGCACGCCTAGGTAATTTCGTACAACAGAGAATGTCAATAGTGTTTTAATACACTCATGACAAAATATCTTGCAATAAGGCAGAGGATATCTTTCCTCTTCCCTGCAGGAGTGCAACACTGTTGCAAAGGTACGTTCAGCTTTATGATTCCTCTAAATAAATGAAATATGATAGGTGATACATGATGGACAAAAACAAGGGAGAAGACCACTGCATGCCTCATTCCAAAACAAAAAAGGGGTGGGAGGGCAATTGACATGACTGAAGGGTTAAATAACAGTCTCTTGCTCAAAGTCCATGTAATGTGAGCAAAAGAGTCATGTATATCTACTTAAGCACTTCAAAGACAGTGTCCAACATGAACTGCACCTTTCAATTTCAGAGCGGATGAAAGGATTGGAAGGGCTGGTGGGATCAGTGACCTCTTCTGGTTGCATCACAGGTGGTGCCTGTTCCTCAACTGCACCAGGGGGAGGTGGCTCTAGAAGATTTCTCTTCTGGAAATCTACTCTGTCTCTCCCTGCATGTGAAGGCAGTGGAACTTTTGTTACAGGTTTGAACTCTGCTTTCATGGTAAAAGCAGAAAAACAAAATATGGCTTCAGAGACAATTCAAAGGTATCAATCACCATCAAGCACTCCTGATGGATGAATCATGGGTGACTTTTGGACCATGACTGGGGTAGTCATCCTCGCTGCAACAACAGCAGGTGCTTGTGGCTGAAGCACAGGTGGTTGCATTGCTGGTGGTGCTCCAGGAGGAGGCATAAAATTCCCTTGCGGACCAGGAGGGCCAGGTACCATCATTCCAGGTCTAGGGCCAGGTACCAGCATTCCTGGTCGAGGGCCAGCTGGTGGCAATCCAAACTGTGGTCCAAAGTCTGGGGCAGGAGGGATGGCAAATTCTGGTGGTGGACCCATTGAGAAGTCAGGCCCTGGAGGCCCCATAGGGTAATCAGGGCCTGGAGGTCCCATTGAGAATTCGGGGCCCGGAGGTCGCATTGGGAAGGTATGGCCAGGGGGTCCCATTGGATAATCAGGACCTGTGAATATAGAGCCCTCCAATCACATGTAAATGACAGCAAATTGAGTTAGAAATCCACAATTCCATTTTCACAGGTATTACTTTGAAATAGATTGCATCCATGCATCATTACTGCAGAGCCTCATGGAACATCATGTTAATATAATTCACTTTTACTCTTAGGTGTAAAGTGAGAGAAGTTGCCACTGCACCTGGTGGAATCATAGGGTATTCTGGAGCAGGGGGTCCAGGACCCACTGGGAATTCCATACCACTGGGGCCAGGAGGTCCTGGGTTCATATACATTGGCATAAGAGGCATCTGTGCATGGAACTGATCTGGTTCCCTCCTGGTTTCATTCCCACCCCTGACTCTGCTGCTCTTCGTCACATGGAATGATGGTTTCGGCGACAGGGACTTCTCGGGATCAAACTTTTTAAAGTGGAAATCCTCTGTCTCTCTATGCATAAGAAATTACAGAGACAAGGATGATTAGGTCAAAGTTGATGAGATGGTTATGAGTATCTGATTCCAGCTAGTGAACATGTCATTGAGAGTAAACTTTAATGGCTGGTAAAGGTCAAATTGACAGCAGAAACTTCCAAGGAATTCTCAATATGAATTGTTTTCAATTTTGAATACTCAATGGTCAATATTTCTCTCTCATTTTAACAAAGCTTTGGAGACTAGACTATTGAGCATGTTACACTTGACAAGGATAGGACAAGGATGAGAAACTCACTTATAATGTGGGACTCTTTCTATTGCCTCCTGAATCTTCTCAAGGTTGGGCTGTAACACAGTGGATTTGATCTGGTAGACTTGCATCCTCCCAAAGTGTTTTTCAGCTCGGGCACACACCTCCTCTAATGCATTGTGCATCCCTGCACTCCAAGTATTTGGCTTCTTCTTAAACTTGTCAGCAAGGGATGGGAAGAACTTTTTCTAAAGACACAAAGGATATCTCATAGCTATGAGGTACATGGGAATGACAGTCTGTGCACACAAGAGCATGAAGTTACCATGTAGGTAAGCCTGTGCTGACTCCCCATCATATGGGAAGTGAGAACATTTCGACTAGTGGACTTGGTGCAGAGGAGGCAGTTGTACAACAGCTCCCCACTGGGACTGACCACCTCCAAAACATAGTCAAGACCTGAAAGAGTTGAATCAATATGTTGATTTAATTAATATTTAAAAAAGGCATTTAACCTATGATCATGATGATGGGAAGGAGTAGATAATATGCTGCCAGTAAAAACTAATAGTCAAGAAAAAAAGGAAAGCAGTCTTAGCCATGCTGGAAATATAAAGGAATTGCTTCTATATGGCAATTTTAGCCTCTGGAGGTCCCACTCCTATCAAACACCAAGTGAAACATAACAATTATCCTACGATACTTGACTGAACGTTCACAAGCCTTGTAAAACCTGTTTGAGAAAGATAGCATTCTTGTAATCAGTGGAAAAATGATTTCCTAAATATATCAACTAATGGATAATCATAGAGAATGTTTTTCCAAACCAATATCCTGCAGCCTGAGGCATTACTAAGGCATATTTATGATTTCATCACAGTTTTGGGGAATCAATCCCATGCTATCCCAAAAGCACCTCACAAGTACCATTTTCAGGAAAAACATATGACTCTTGCATGCATCAAGTCAATTGAGTCAAGGCATATAAAGGTGAAGAGAATCCAGTCTTCAGTGCAATAATTATGAAATTTGCCTTGACATGGATATTGGGTTTTCTGACCAGGGTGCTTCTGCATTACCACCTTGGAAGTGCAGCAGGGGGAACATTCGGCACAGCTATATGAATGCAGAAATGTCATTTTTGGGATAAAGAACAAATTGGAACTATGATGACTTCCATCGAACATAGCTCTCCCCAATTATGAGGGGCAAGTACCAAGTCAAAGACTAATGGAATTTGGGATGCTCCAACATACCAACAAGAGGTTTATGGGTGAATGTCTCCAGGAAAGGCTGGATGATCGCAGTGGTCTTCTCACAGAATGGCTGGAGGGGGAGAGGCACACAGGACTCCTCAGATTCTCCACTTTCATCTCCCTCTTTCTCACCATAATATCCATCCCCAACTGGGTTATCCATCTCATCTGCAAGCTTTGAATTGACTGTGGAAACACAAGAGATTCATTTCTTTTGATCTTAACCTTTTGCTTCCTTCCAAGAGTGCCTTTTGGCTAACTTTGAACCCAGATGTGCAACAGAAAACAGGGTAATCACACATTAAAAGTAAGGGAGCATATGGGTGGTTCCCTAAGGCATAAATGTCACCCATTAATTGTAAACCCAATTCTTTGACTCTCTTTTCCCATACTTTTCTCAAATAATCAATCACCTCATTCCTTCTGTTCCAGTCTAAAACTAAGCAGTCACTAGCAATCAATCCAATGTTCTGCAGGTCAAATGCTACTTCACTTTACTTTGCTCTTTTGCATTCTCAATCAAGCTTTTGAGCAACAAAATTACAACACTTTCTTTACAGATTTGAAAAATCTTAAAATCCTTTGTTTCTGTTCACACCCAAGCAGTTCCTCTTTCTGCTGCTAGATAGGAATGACAATCAAGGAAAGGGTGAAGATCCAGATTGGTAATTGAATTCACATCTCCCTCTCTAATCATTATGAGGCTTAGGGTGACAAAGTACTGAATGTAAATGAAATTTGATTTAAAGCTCACCATGAAACAGGAAGGCAGCAGATTCCTTGCTGGACAGCATTTTCTTCTTCTTGTGATTATGGCTGTCCTTGTGCAGATCAAATTCCCCGAGTCCATTTATGTCCTTCTGGCAGAGCGCACAGTAAATGGACAGAATGCCCCCATCCTCTCTGAACACACGATAACTCTTGATCGTTTCTCCGGAGGAGAGTGTGACGGTTTCGTTCAACTCGGGACGCTGGAGCTTTGTTCCCTGTACAAAAGCAGGTAATATGCAAAGCTGCAATATGCAAGAATCTTCTACACAAGCAAATGAGTCAGCAAACATTGAAGAATGTCTGAGCTACATCATAGGACAAGGGAGACAATCATTTGCTTTCCCAGACCCACTTAGTCCGTAATTTCCTCTCTCTCAACAACAAAAAACTTTTCTACTCGATGAATACCAACAGCATCGACATCATCCACAACCATACTTTTTGGCTCAATAACCTCCAAGAAATCATTAAGATAGCCACCCTTCTATCCTCATCCATCAAGACATGAGAGATATCATCTATTCTCAAATTGGGCACATCAGACTCTCCCACAGGAAACCTCTCTTATTATAACAAAGTGGACATTATGCAAGCACTCCATCTTGCCAAAGCAGATTACATTCAGACTTTGCTAAGAACAGGACAGGGAGGACCTTGTAATTTAATGCCATGTCTCTGTCTAGACCCTTCACCAGAATTCATCTTTTCTTCACTTGTGTTAATCAAGTAAGACAAATCCAATAATCCCTGCATTGTTTCAGGCCTTATTATTCCCAGTCCAAACCAAGTTATACATGCATGTGCACATAAAAACCTCAAAATCTCTCAATGCTCACTATTTCCTGTTTTCCCCAACATTGGCCGAGTTACATGGCAAATTTTGGCAATAGTGTTCTGACTACTCACCCAATCCTTTTCCTCATCTTCTGTGGGTGGATTATTGTCTGCCATTTCCTTTAGCATACCCAAGACTCCAGCAACACCTCCGATGTGAGAGGATGTCACCTGGCTGCCATCATCATCATCATCATCCTCATTGTCAGCCTGGAAAAAGGAAAAAAAAATTCAGGTCAACAGCATAACAATGGGCCTGGATGATCGATTGTTTCCACATGTTTGTGGGACAGGTAAGAGGATGAAACAGATCAGAATTGAAGACATTAAAAAATTTGGTGCATATTTTTCATTAATTTAAGGTAAAGATTTGAAAAAAACCTATTAAAAAAAACCAGAACCAACTATTAAAAAAGAAATACAAAGCTATTACAAAGAATAAATGTCAGCATGAGCAAATACCCTTGAATTTCCTTAAATTATACCCACCTTCTTCCCTTTCCACTTATTCTTCTTCTTCTTCTTGTTTGGCAAACCAATTTTGAGAGCCTGCCCTGATTCCCCGGAGCCTGTGCTTGCACCCTCTTGAGTGCTTGATCCACCTTCTGGTTCTTTGCCTTTGGGCTCGGCATCTGCAGACGCAGGAGTGTCCTCTCCCGGAGGAGCCTCGTCCGATGGGACGTCAGGCTGCGCCGCGCCGCTGTTTCCTTCTCTGGGGCCTTTGAGCTCTGATTCCTTCGATTCCCCCTGACTCATAGCGAGACCTTGCTTCCCCTTCTCAATTTTCGAGTTTGCCTGTCACATATCAAGAAGAAAACCCTTGAATCCAAAGATTTGTCAAACAACATCCATCAGCAAGACCATGTAGCTTATGGCAGACTTCAGTCCCTGCTGAAAATATATAGGGTGAGCCATAAGAAAGCTTGTCTCCTAAATGAATACACAGTTAGAATCTTTCACTGATAGGTTTATCATCGAGCCATCTCAACAGTGAGCAAATGTAACCATATACGAGATGTTAAAACAAGCAAAAATAACATCACGTAACATAAATAACAAACCAAAGTTATCAGAATAACCAGTATAATAATCAGTATAATGGTAAACTTAAACTTTTTAAAACTTATTTGAGGGCCCCCCCATATATTTTTATCTAGTCTTGAGCAGAGAAACAGAAGTTAAGCATGGACATCTGCAAAATAGAAAAGCCATTACTCCCCTGAAGGTCTCATTATTTCCTTTTCAACCATTACATGAAACCTATTCCTCTTTGGAAACAAGGCTTGACTATCATGCAGAGAGAACATTTAAAAAGCACTCTGAATTCTTCCACAGGCCAAAGCTCACAGAAGTCTCCTGAGGTAACACGGCCACATAAATGGTATCCCACCAGAACCTACCCTTCAGCTAAGTGATTCTCCCTCCCTCTCCTCCCTGAATCGTGAGATCTCCTGTATGCTAACCCACCAACAGTAAAGTTCTCAAATATCTTCCAAAACTAATCAATTTGTTGCCCAGCTTGCAGGGACATCAAGCCGAAAAACTCTGGTCAGAAGTGGAAAGAAATGCACCAAAAATGAGTTAAACAAATTCAATTCAATTATTCCCTCTCACTTTTCTGCCCTAGTGACCAACACTCAATTAGGAGAGGGGAGCCAAATGTCCAGTTATCTATACTAAGCAGGAAAAAAAAAAGCAAGGATCATGTCCTTCACTGAAAAGGGCAAGTCCAGGCCACATATAGGCTTGGACTGGTGAGTAAACATAAAGAAACTCGAAATCTCAATCACTTGCTCTTCTGGATTTGACAGAATCATGTCATATCCAGTTGATTCAAATTGACATACAATATTTAAAAAAAACGAGACAGGCCTTTGTCAGATCCAACGAAAATACTCCAGTGAGAATGGTGCAGTCCCAAGCAGCCTGATAATGCATCGAGATATCTCAACATTTTGTAAATTGGTTCTATGCTTCTCGAAGCTGAACAATAAAAGCAGCATGGCAAATAGAGGTTTCAAGACAACAAATCCACTATTTTTAAAAGTACAGCAGTATCAAAAACTATTTTCAAACTTCCTTCAGAAAACACTAAACTGAAACTAAAAATTACATGCAAGGTACTTGGAATTCACGAGAATACAGTGAAATATTATGCTGATTGTGCAAAAAAGTAAAACAATGCATAGAGCCCCTTTGAAAATGCAGTTTAACTTCACAAAACCGAGCAGGGGTTGGAAATGCACTCACTCCCCGGGGAAGCTCGGAAAATGCGCACGACAAAAAGTTGGCACGATGATGCAGAACATTCCAAAAGGCTAAACGCTCCCCCGTGCATTAATAGACATCAAGTCGTTTGTTGGACGGAGGAATGCAAATTTGAAAACTAACGTGATGCACAGCTTTGTCTGCAAAACGAATGATCTTCCTGAATGTAACAGGTTCCAGGCCCAAATCGGTGGAGGCCTGGTGGCAGAGATTGAAGTAACGTATGACGGGGCAAAGAAGTTCCAACCTCTTGCGAAGTGGCTCGACGCGATTACACGTGCATGCGGCGTAAAAAGCGGCTTACGCGTTGCCACAACTGAAACATGGTGCTATGCGCAGTAAAATATTGAAATCAAGGCACGTGAGTCATATGGTTAAGCCCTTTGTAATTCGTTTGTCCTTAGTTTAACTTCATACTGCTCATAACGAAAGGCCAAACCATATCCCCAAACATATTTATCTGTATAAAAAAAATCTAAGACTTATAATTTTTAAAGTAAAATAAATAAAAACAACCCAATTAGCGAAACTGGGAGGTATTAACGTATGTTAGGCCCAAGCCCAATCATGTCGCAGAAACCTCGAGAGTTCCGCGTGTGCAAAGTAATCCGCAATCGGAACTCACCTGAAGTGTCACCCGCGTACCTTCAACCAGGGCCTAAGCGTGCATGCAAAAAAAAACTCGAAGAAAAGTAAAATACGTCACTGAGCCGTGCGACCGAGGAGCAGCCATGTTTCCAGTGCTGGCGCATCGGCCGACCGGTCGGACAAACTTCCAAGTTGGAAGGATCACTGGAGGGCGAATGGACGAAAAACAAGGAACGAGATACCTCCACGTACCTCCTCGCACGGTGTTCTCCCACCAAGAATCCAGTCTTGAAGCGCTATGAAGGAAAGACTCGAGAGCGCAGCCTCCCGAGAGGTATAAAACGTGGTTTACTGCGCCTCCATGACTGTCTGAGGCCCGTTAGCTCAGTTGGTTAGAGCGCCGTGCTAATAACGCGGAAGTCGTGGGTTCGATCCCCATACGGGCCAATCTTTTCTTCTTTTTTTTAATTAGCATTTCCAATTCGCAGTTGTTCTAAGCCTTTCTTGAGATGAGAGGGAGCAAAGGGATCACTGCTGAGTAATTGGGAAATGAAAGAAGCCCTGAATACCCACGTTTTCATTGCAATTCTTCTAAAAAGAGTTTATTTGAAATCTGGTGATGCATTTATTGATTAATTATTGCTTTCAACAGGAAAGAAGCGGCGAAAGACTCGTTGGAAAAAGTTTCAGCAGCGCGGATATGGAAACAGGGCATTAGTGAATAAGGGCATAAGCGATAAAGGGCATAAGCACTTTCTGCCTGCATCCCAGCAACGCGAGACGAAGAAATTCATTAAAACCCAAAGTTCAATTGAAAAAAAATATCTAAGATACCATTTTGACTGATAATTCAGTTTTGACCAGCTTCAGATTAGCAATGAGAAGTTTTTATCGTTCATCTCGAATTGCATCTTTTGCACATACGGCCTTTTTCTAGAGAACTCCTCAATTGCAGGCCCACCCAGAGGTTTTTTTTTTTTTTCAAATCAGAATTTTTTAATATCAGAATTTTCTCGATGCCCTTCATATTCGCGTCAGTTGAGGTGGGAGTGAATCTGGAGATGTATTCAATAAATGCAATATTTTCTTCTTGGCATGAACGACGGAAAAAAGATTTTATAAATGCAGTATTAGATGTGAATGCCGTAGACATTTTCGTCTTCCACTCGGCTTACTTTTTCTTTTTCAAGCAATGAGATCATCTTTCTCCTCCTCTCCTTCCTTGATTCTTAACCATTTAGGAACCAATATATTAGCAGTTCATAAGATGCCAATCCATTTGATCGTCAGAAAAAAAAAAATCCGTGGCCCGTATGGGGATCGAACCCGCGACTTCCGCTTTCTTAGACACGGCGCTCTAACCAACTGTGATAACGGGCCTCCTTTTTTTTATTGTCGACTTGATGGTCTTCCTTGTTATTATCAAGGATTATTTGAATCCTAAGCTGTAATTTCAGAGGAAAACTTTGACCTAAGGAAGTTCTCGTTTCTTTTTTAAATATATTGATACATAAAGTGTACCGTTTGGGCATAGATAAAATGGAAATGTAGTAATATAGCAACTCTTACATATATTGGTTCAAAATTTAGTCCACATCGAATAAAAAAGACGGGAGATTCAGACAGGACCAATCCAGGCTCGGCATGCCCCCTATGACAGACGCGGCTCATTAATGCAAGGCCGAATTTCCCCACGGGATCGTTCAACGTCTCCGGCGGTGCTGGGAAGCACCGACAAGATTTTCCTTCGAGTGCATTTCCGTAAACATTGATTAAATATTGAGCATACCAGCACACTTCTCAACGGGGTACCAGGCGTTAATTAGCCCTTCGCGTCCAGGCTCGTGGACATTTTTGTCCTTTTTGTCACGAGGACATTTTGGATCGAGCTGCACGGACATCGCGTCCTTGCGTGAAGGCTGAAAATTCAAGGCTGGAAAATGTGTTCCTCGGCGTGAAGGCCGAAAACGGTGTTTTGTTATATTGTTTTGCAATATTGTTATCGATCAGGGCAACCCAGGGGTCGCGAACCGGCAACTAAATATAAATTTATATTTTTCTATGCAATTTCAGCCTGTCGAATCTCGTCCAGTGCTTTTGGCCCCGAATCGATCGTAATTTTTGGGGTGAAAAAAAAAAAAGTTTGGGAAGCCCTGTTCCGACCGGGATTTCGTTGCAGGCAGTTGTAATTCGGACTCCATTTTGAGTCCATTTTGAGTGCGATATACGACTGTTGTGAGATGGCCCATAAAAAAAAACCCTGAGGAGTTGAGTCAGATATAGCGGGCCAAGCATATGCCCCACCGTGTCCGACCCATTAGGGCACGTCCAGGCACTCACGCACTGCGTGAGGAGGTGCTCCATCGTGAGGAGGTGCTCCATCTTGCTGGTACATCACCTGGTCTTTTGCCAGTAAGGGTTCGTCGTTGTAGTCTGATTCGCTTTCAATTATCAGTTATCAATATCTGGCATTTCAATTTTGTCAGCGAAAATTCCGCCTCAGACTTTTATTTTCTGTGGTAGTTTGTATTAGGGGGCTCCAGATTCTCCATCATCTCAACGTGTAAGCTCGAGGAAGACTACTACAAGGAAGTGAGAAAATGGAAAAAAGAATTCCCTGGCCCGTATGGGGATCGAACCCACGACATCCGCGTTATTAGCACGGCGCTTTAACCAGCTGAGCTAACGGGCTTCCAGCTTAAAATTTCCCTTACGGCCTCGATCGCATTGGGGACGCATGCCCATCGAAGATTTGAATGCCTTCGGTTGCCCACGTGTAAGCATTGGAGACTGTGATAAGAATGATACGATTATACGGCCCCTGGGCATGTCTGGTCCGTTTTTCTTCTTTCGGTTTTGGCTTCCCTCCCGCTTTTACCTTGCCACTCCTCTCAGGGACCCCGACGTGTTTCCATCTCGACTTCGACTGACCTCCCGTCGAGGGCGCAGGTGCCTGCCTAGTTTTGGGGCCTTGGGAAGCGAAAGGAAGGCCTTTTCGGAGGTCCCCGGGAAGCGAACGAGGACCTCCCATTTGCTCCTATCGCTCGCAGTCTTCTTCCCGTCGGCTGCTGTGGGTCTCCTGCGGATGAAGGCGGAGGTGGCCACCCGTCAGCCCGACCGTGGCGAGCTTCCCCAGCGACGACACGAACTAACTCGAATGGCGAGGATCCCGTGGCGAGGATCTTTCTCGCTATACACCGAATTGAAATTACACGTCGCTCATCATATGGGAAAAATCCTGCAAATACAGGATGTCCCAAAATTAACCGAACATACGGGTTTCGGATCTCGTACCTCTGCATCTCACCATGTGTTGACAGCAACAATCGTAAAAAGTAAATAGCTGGCCCGTATGGGGATCGAACCCACGACTTCCGCGTTATTAGCACGGCGCTCAAACCAACTGAGCTAACGGGCCTTCTAATGTTTGATGCTAATGGAATTTTCTCATTTCAAGCTGAATTCATGTCAAATGACTTCGCCCTGAAAGTCTTTTGGTACTCATAAAAATCTCTTTACTGCTGAAATTCACCTTTCAATTGGAGGTCCTCAATCTGATGCTAAAAGAATAGGACCGTTCTCAAAGCGTCACAGTACAGAATGAACCAGAATGACTGACCCTTCGAAGCGCTGGAACGGTCTGGAACGCTGGAACGGTCTGGAACGGTAACATCAGCTTTCACGTGCGGTAGGTTCTCATGCTCATTGGCGACATTGACAACTCATATTTCTAATCAGAGGGTGGACTGCTCTTGAGAAAAAAAAGATGCGTCAGACCTTTTTTCGGAACAGACTGTTCCTATTGGCCAAAGCATTCTAATTCTCCTTTTTCATTAAATTTTCTTGAGCACACTCCGCCCCAGCCCATCACATTTCATGCAGAACCCCCACCATCACCGGGAGGGAAGGGGGGCGTTCTGCCCCCAAATCCCCCCCCCCCCTTGTGAAAATCCTCTACTCGTGACTCCCATCACAGAAGATCATGTTGGTTCGTATCTTTGCGGGAGGAGCAGCAAGACAGAAGAGAGGCGAAACGAGGAGACAAACGGAACAATGGAGACGCAAAGCAGACTTCACGGAATCCCACTTCAACCGCCCTGAATAAAACAGGTTAAAATAGGTAAGCGACAGCTGGGATACCTTACCTACCCTCTCCGATATGGCTTTTGCCAAGTGCTGCGAGAATCGAGGAAATCCTTAATCGATAATCGATTAAGGATTAAGGAAGGATAAGCCTGCCATATTATGCTGCACGCTTTATTCATGGGCTTGTATCAGTCTTCATTGATCTACGGGTTCTTCGTAAATATTTATTTTAAATAACCTTAGAACCCTGGTAAGCACTTTATTAAGGTCGGCAGAGTACTTCTCTCTGCTATCCAATATATTTCTCTACAAACTGCTCCAGTTGGTTGGAACTTCAAATTGATTCCCTGAAACGTAGACTTCAACATTCGAAACGTTCCTTGACAATGCTAATTTGCTTTGGTCGAAGTTGTCTCGTATATTTGCAATGACGTAAATCGTCCAAGAGAAAAAACATCAGCAATGCCATTAAAGTCGTCAGGCCCGTTAGCTCAGTTGGTTAGAGCGCCGTGCTAATAACGCGGATGTCGTGGGTTCGATCCCCATACGGGCCAAAGTTTTCCGTTTTTTCTCGGAATTTGCCTGCCTCACTTCCTTGTCTTTGTCTACCGCGAGGTGAGAGTGAATCTGAAACAGTTTTTTTTTAAAGCATATTTGCAGGGTTGTTTCCATTGGACGAGTGAAGGATTTCTACATGTACTTTCAATCCCGTGTTTAGCGAGAAAGATTCTCGCCACGGAACCTTCGCCATTTGAGTTAGTTCGTGTCCCTGCTGGGGAAGCTCGCCACGGTCGGGCCGAAGGGTGGCCACCTCCACCTTTTGCGGGAGACCCACAGCAGCCGACGGGAAGAAGACTGCGAGCGATAGGAGCAAATGGGAGGTCCTCGTTCGCTTCCCGGGGACCTCCGAAAAGGCAGGGACCTGCGCTCTACAGATGGTCGGAGTCGAGTTGGAAGCGCGTTGGCGACGGGAGAACCCTGAGAAGAGTGGGAAGGGAAAATTGAGAACCAGAGGCAACGAAAGAGAAGAAGACGATAAATGCCCAGGGACCGTTTACTGTATCGTTCTTATCACAGTCTATGCGTACATTTGTGCAGCCCACAATGCATTCTTTGGTCAGCACCCTGCTGATATGGGTGACTGGATGCAGTTATTGCCAGAGGCAAAACATCTTCAAAAAGTTCATCTTCGAAGGAGGCTCATTGATCACTTAACTATAAATACTTATGTTCACTCCTAAGCTTACCGGCGCGATATAGATTGCCACCGCAAAGTGGAAATTTTCCGTTCATCCAGTTTTATGAAAGGATTTTTCCGTGAAACCTCGATAATCGCGTCTTAGACTTGTTAGACTTAGACACGACCTACACTCGTTACCGATTTGGCTCTGGCCAAATCAGTAACGTGCCTACTCCCTCTAGTGTCGTCCCCTTCTCCCAGTTATAAGAGGATGTCGTCGAATATGACTCATCTCCCCTCGAGAGAGCCGAAGATGAGGAAGTTTCTAATACGGAAAAAAAAAGGGAGCGGTTGGCCCGTATGGGGATCGAACCCACGACATCCGCGTTATTAGCACGGCACTCTAACCAACTGAGCTAACGGGCCACTGCCACTTCCTTCCTCCTTCTTTTATAAACGTGAATGATGTTACTCACCGTTAACTTTTCAGACGTCTGGATAACGTCAGCGTCTTCTTCATTTTTTTTATTTCTTTTTTTTTTACAAGATAACTTGCTCTGCAATTTTGAAAATAATATTTTCCTAGAAGGACATATTATCCGAAGCTGAACTAACAACGTCGTTCTTGAGCGTCACTCTCTTTTTTTCCGGGCTAACCAATCTGCAAACTTGAGCAGTGTACTTCGAGAGATGTAGAGGAAGCTCAATTATTTTTCCCCGTGAAACTTCATTTAGACAATACAGAGACAGCGATCGAGTCAGATCGAGTCGAGTCATCCAGAAGACTCGAAAGTTTTCCAGCCGAATGTTTGTCTGCTGAGGTTACTACTTGAAATGAAAATTCTTCCATGGGATTGTGTAAATAACACCAACAAGGCTGTATAAACGTAATCATTGCGAGACCCGTTAGCTCAGTTGGTTAGAGCGCCGTGCTAATAACGCGGAAGTCGTGGGTTCGATCCCCATACGCGCCAGTTCATTCTACATTCTTCTTTCTGAAACTCCTCAAAATTTCATCGTCTTCTCCCTCGGTGAGAGCGACTCGTGACCTGTGTTACATGCATCTGTTAGATCGTTTCCTTCGGATTCGTGCCGGCTTTTCGCTCCGTCTTTTTCTTGCTTCAGAGAAGTGGAGCGACGATACTCGGGGTTGTCTACCGTTAGATGCGAAGGGGACTCAGCGAGCGGCCGATTCCGCTGGAAACTGGCAAGAAAACAGCAGTCCCAGAGAAAATCGGTATCACTCACGCTCGCGAAAGAGCAAAAATGCAGGCGAAGCAATGCGAGAAATCTATCTTCCAGATCCCCTCATTACTGCACCTGCACCTGCGCACAAGAAAGATGCTGCACCTGCAGGTGCAAAATCTTCATCGCTGTAAACTGCAGAACGATCAGTTTGTCTGGATCCAAATATTCCGTCGGGATGAAAGCAAAGGAAAAGCAATCGAATCGGAAGAGAAAAATAACGATAAAGCCTCTGGGTGAGCAGGGAAATCGATTGAAATCAGTTCTCTTTCTTAATCTCACTAGCCAACCCCACCAGATATAAATTTTATCAGAAATAAATGTGCTAACTCTTGAAGACCTGCATCGCATTGGAAAGACTCGAAAGGCCCCTATTCTTTCAGCTTCAGATTGATGCCTTCCAAATGAATGGTGAGCTTCAGCATTAAAGAGCAAGTGATCTTAGATCTTAGAGCAAGTGAAAAATTAAGGGAGCAGTGTTCCGGCTGAAGACACTGCTAAGATTACTACTCGAAAACAACCCATAGGGACGCATCAGGGTGATTCCATGTCAGATCGACCAATTTTCTCATGATTTCATGGTCGACCATTATCGATTTGGCTGAAATTTGGTGAGGAGGTAGCGTTTGACCCAAAAACGGGAAATCCAAAATAATTTTTTTTTTCTGATCAATGTTTGTCCGTGGCGAGGTCACAAAATGTTGACCTATTTTAGCTAGTCCGGCTGACCTCTATCAGACTTTCTTCAATAACTCCTTAGCTATTTGTCATAGAATGGTCATCAGTGGACACCGATCAGTGGACACCCACTGTTTGTAGGTAATCGTGTCTACCATACCTTTATCAAAGCTGGTCACCAAGTCGTCTTGCA